GGTAGATTTTATCATGAAAGGCCAAAAGTAGATTTCCAGTTTTTACTTAGAAGTAACTTCCATGATGGGGAATTTAGCAAAGCATAATTATGATTATTTATATAGAGCCTACAAATTCCATACCGTTGTACAATGGGTGGACTAACAGACACGTAATTGTAACCAGATGAGTTGGACGCAAAGGAACAGAGGGGTTGAGGCACTGCTCAATGTGCTTACATGCTGGGTAATACACCATCTGTCTAATCTTGCTTCACCCATTTAAATGTACAGTGGCATCAATGTGTGGTCCAGCGACCTATCACGAAAGCAAAATGGTGTGTCATTTAACAATCGTAGCCGAAGTAAGAAGAGTCAGCTAATCCTTAAGTTTTGGGACTATGGCCTTAAATTTGACATTTACTGTGAATTCTTACTGTATTAAATAACCCATTTAACCTTTCTCGTCTGTCACAATGTTTTAAAAATGTCACCAGTAGCAGAAAAAGTTACATTTTAATGTATAAAGTGAATGTGACTTTATATCTGACTTATTTAATGACTTAAAGGTGGTGCATTGTGTTTTCTCCCAAGAACTTAAACTAACTTCATCAAAGTGAATTTTATGCCAGGTTTAACAGTCTATCTCAACTTTTATTTTCGTGACGTTTTGTGGTTTTCTTTTCCTCCCTGTAACTGAATTGGGATTGGAAAGATGGCATGATGAAATTATGAAGACTGGTGGTTTGAAAAGGGAACATCTAAGGATAGTTGCTGGTTGTAACAATGGGGAAAAAAAAGATATCATAAAGGGTTCATATTGGAAAATTCTATATATCGTATTAAAGGACCAATACCACTCTAATGCTAGAAATACAACCAGCTATTTAAAAGTTAGAATTTTCACCTGCCTGTTTAGATTTGTAGCTTTCCCAGTGATAAAGCAGAATTCAAAGGCTCTCCTGAAATAAAGAAGAATTATTCCATGCTGCACCAGCCTTGCCATGGCCGTCTCTTTACCCCTGGCTGAGATCATCATTATTGATGATCTCAGATAATCCAATGCTTCTCCATAGAGAAGCATTGATGGCCTAATGTGCATATGCAGCAATTTGTGAGATTTAGTCGCCTAAAATTTAGTCTGCACCAATCAGTATCTCCTCACACAAGCGCATTACACTAGTACATTCCTATAAATAGCGTTCAGTGTAAAGCAGTGTTCATTTTGGCGGCACAATTCAATTTAGTTTTAGGCATAGTCTTTTGACTAAAAAGCCGTTTTAGTCGAATTTTAGTCATCTGAATTGTTTTAGTTTTAGTTGACTAAATCTCAAAAAGTTTAGTCTACTAAAATTTGACTAAAATTGTTTGTCAACAAAATTACCACTGACGTAAAGTCTCAGGTTCTGTAATGGAATTCAGGAAATCAGGGTTAGTGGCAAAAACCTAGAAACAGTACTCAGGCAATGGGTCAAAGTTGGTGTCACAGGTTCCGCAACGGCATTCAGGCAACAACAGGTCACAGGTTCGGTGTACAAGCTGGAAAACGTGAAATAACCCTGATTTCTTTTCAGTTAGTTCTAATTTAACCAAGGTCAAATACATCCTGAGCCGTTTGTGTAATTATAAGAAGATCATTTATTATTTACATTTTAGTGACAATATCAGTTTTACGAGCAGGATATTCAATGCTTAAAAAGATTCATAAGCAAGTTGACGATAAATACACAGGGAATAACTGTCAAAGGCATGTTTTGTCATATAGTTTTTGTGAAAAAAGAAACGAGCTATAAAATAATCTAGTTTGAGGTAATGTTTGTGGTAATTAAAAAAGTAAATGCTATAATGCTGTTTTGCTATCAAACAGTTCCTGTGGGGTCACTGCGAGCTTTAAAGGCTTCTATGTTAGCTTCAAGGTACTTGTCAGTATGAATTAAAGTTCATTAAAAATGTACCCCATGGACCAATAGTATGCCAGAGTTGTTCTCCTTGTTTGTTTCACTGTTTATTACTTCAGCCAACACTTTTAATTGTTTCCAGTTGAGAAAAAAAAACATTATAGTGCAGTTTGTTAGGCACATTATAGAAATGACCTTTCTGTTGAGCTGAGTATGTATTAAATGTCGTACTTAGCCTTTACACAAATGTAACATTCAAAATAAACATTTATGTTGAGTTAAAAATTAAACGTTATTAAAAATACTAATGATATATAAGCCTTGCACATTTATCAAGATACCTTTTTTACGAATGGGGAGCTACTGATAGGCTAAGAGTGGCAGCTGTCTGCTCTAGCCAATCATCTGTGCCACTGCCCCGCGGGACCCCGCACTTCCTATAACTCAAATTCTGGAGCCAGATGCTGCCTGAGGGTCCTGGAGATTGGTGCTGGAGGCAACTCTTGGGGTTTAACTGTTTGAGACCAGTTTAACCCCAAATATAAGAGTGTCCTAGGGGCCTCCATAACCACTTCATTAGATTAAATTTAATGGTGACTGGAGTTTCCTTTAACTCTGACAGCTGATTGAGTCACTCCATGGAAATAATATATAAAAGTAAATAATTTTTAAAAAGTGTGGTCCCCTGAGACATCCTAAAAACTGGAGCGGTCCAGTGGTACTGTCTCCTCTTACTCCATCCCTTGTACCATAGGGTGGTACGTGTTCTGGGCCCTATAATAAAATATATGTGGGTCCCTTCATATTCCAAGGGATGCACAGACTACTGGGCCCTTTAAAATGTATACGGTCCTATAAGTCAACCTATCAGAGAGCTCTGACTGAGCAATAAAAGTTTGAGAAGACCTTTAAATGTTTAATGGGGTCACAAGGAACTTTTTACATTGCCGTTTTTTATTTCTTTACTTAGGGAATGGGATTCAAGTCTTTTTATATTTTAAAAAGTGTCATTGGATTATAATAGTTTTTGATGTGGGATTTGTTAAGGCTGAAGAAAGAAGATTAAAAAAATAAGAATATTTTGAAACATTATAAGAATACTATTGTATACAGTTATTTTGTTTTAGATTTTGGGCCCCTCCTCACTATTACATAGTTACATAGTTACATAGTTACATAGCTGAAAAGAGACTTGCGTCCATCAAGTTCAGCCTTCCTCAGAAATGTTGTTGCTGTTGATCCAAAAGAAGGCAAAAAACCTGGTCTGAAGCACTTCCAATTTTGCCACAAACTAGAAAAAAATTCCTTCTTGACCCCAAAATAGCAGTCAGATGTCTCCTTGGATCAATCAGCTATTACCCCACTAATTAGAAATTATATCAATGTATGTTATGTTTTTGTAAGTATTTATCCAATTTCAGTTTAAACATCTGTATGGACTCTGACAAAACCACCTCTTCAGGCAGAGAATTCCATATCCTTATTGTTCTTACTGTAAAAAAACCTTTTCTTGCCTTAGATGAAATCTCCTTTCTTCCAGCCTAAATGTGTGACCTCGTGTCCTATGTATAACCCTGTTTATGAATAGATTTCCAGATAAAGGTTTGTACTGGCCCTGAATATATTTGTATAAAGTTATCATATCCCCTCTCAGGAGGTATGTATAGGAGGTAGGCAGGGACTTATTTTCTAGGGGTGGGTAGGGCCTTGGAGACCCTTAGCACCCAAGGTGGGGATCAGTCTATGCATGGGCCCAGGACACACCGCATCACCTGGACCATTTATTAGAATGACTATTTATGAGTTTTTGGATGCTTGAAATCTAACCGTAGGACGGGCTATTTCAGCTGCTGCCCATTCTCAGTATAATCTTGCACCCCGTTTTTTGCTCTCCTTGCAATCTAATCAGTCCAGGATCACTAATTACATGGTATAGGCAGCCACCTAGTGCAAGGGCTCTAACAGCAACCCTGTGAGCCCCTTTCTGGGGCTAGAGCTCTGGCTGTGCATGAGCCCTCATTGAGTCAACTGGTAATTAATAGATTTATAGCAGCAAAGAACACTACACGCTGGTTCACACACTCTAGTCGCTCACTCATCACTCCAGTGCTCTGTCCAAGCAGGATACCACAATCTATGAAGCAAATGTAAAAAAGTAAGAACAGACAACACTTGGAAGGTGCAAACGTGAGGGTAAACTTTATTCAAACAAACA